TTTTTCAAGGTTAAACTCAGTCCTCTGCAACTCTGGCAGCTTCCAGATGGCAGGATAGGCAGGGGACTTTTTTTTCTGGATTCTTGGGACACTCACCACAAAATCAGTACCATGTAATGCCCTGGCCTGCCCTGGGCTGTGTAAGTTCTTTTGTCTATGTTCTTGCCAAGCACCTGTTTGATCCTCTGAGCAGTGAAGCAGTAGCTGTTTTCCACTCAACCTCTCTTACCCTTATTTTTCTCATTTGCAAAATGGGAATGATGGTAGCTATGTTGGCCTTACCCATGAGTCTCTTCCCAGTCCCACCTTGGGCATGTTGTGGGTAGAAGAAGTGCTGCCTTAGTGCAGCGGTTCTCAAAGTGTGATCTGCAGAGCCACTCAGGGATCTGAGACAATCTTCTTTTCTAACTACATACCTGTGTGAGGCTGGGTTTTCTTCATATACTTGAATCAACACATTACAACTGCTTGAACACAGAAACAGATATGAGAATACAGCTGTCTTCTATTAAGCCAGATATTAAAGCATTTGCAAAAATATAAAATAATGCCACTGTTCTCACTATTTGTTTTAGATAATTAAAAAATTATGTCAACATGTAATAGGTTATTATTTTATGAATTAATAAATATTTAAAACATTCTCAGTTTTAATTTTTTTTTTTTTTTTTTAGAGACAGGCCTCACTCTGTGGCCCAGGCTGGAGTGCAGTGGCTATTCACAGGCACAATCCCACTACTGATCAGCAGGGACTCAGTTTTAATTTCTAATACAATAATTATCAGTACATATAATCCACACAAACAAAAGCTCTTGGAAATCCTCAATAATTTTCAAGAATATAGAGGTACTGAGACCCAAAGTTTGAGAACCCCTCGAGGAAATAATAGAATTCCAGATCTAGATTTTTCAAGTACTTGGTGGTCTAAGCCCTCTCCTATGCCTCAATTTATCTCTAATACAATAATACTCATTGTTGTGGCGTGGGTGCCTCTTGTTTTCTTCCGTTTCCTAATGTTTAGATCTTGCTTTATGTGTGTATACAGGGATGGTCTTTGGAAGGATACACAATTAACTGGTACAGCGGTTGAAGGGAGTTCGGAAACTGGGAGAAAGTGGCACCATAAACCTTTCTGCTCTGTTTGATTTTAAAATACAGTACATCGTGGATGCAGTGCCTGAACTAATAATGAACAATTAAAAGTAAAATTACATTTGTAATCATAGGAATGCATGAGAAGCTCAAGTCTGCTCAAGTAAAGTGGTGTTAACCGGCAAAGACAAACAATAAGACGAAGAAAGTTATCCTTGTCTGCCTTCACCGGACTCACAAACACTTAGCTCAGGTTCCCTCTGGCTCCTCTCCCGCCCGCTGGGGTTAAGCCACTCTCATCCTCAGCCCCGCCCCTCGGCCCCACCCCCTTCAACAACTGCAGCCACGCCCCTCACTGCCTCGCCCCGCCCCGCGGCGACGTCACCTCCGGCCAACCCGCTTCCCCAACTCCGTCTGGCTCCCGCCTTCGCCCGCTTCCGGTCGTCGTCGTCGTCGCCGCTGCTGCCGCTGCTGCTGCTGCTGAGGCTGCTGGCGGAGGCCGGAGGATCGGGCGGCGGCGGCGGCGGCGGCTGAGAGGGCGGCGGCGGGAGCGGAGCGGGACGAGAGAACGAGAGGAAGCGAGCGAGGAGCGCGCAGAGCGCGCTTTTCCGTCCGCCTGAGGAGCCGAAGCAGCCCCGGCCCCGCCGCCGCCGCCTGCCCGCCGGACAAAGCCGAGAGCCCGCGCCCACAGCCATGTCCTCGTCAGCCGGCAGCGGCCACCAGCCCAGCCAGAGCCGCGCCATCCCCACCCGCACCGTGGCCATCAGCGACGCCGCGCAGCTACCTCATGACTATTGCACCACGCCCGGGGGGACGCTCTTCTCCACCACACCGGGAGGTGAGCGCCGGCCAGCCGTCCGCCGCGCCCGGTGTCCCGCCGCGGTCCTCTAACTCCTCGGCGTCTCGGTGCCCGGCCGCTTCGCCCCCGCCCCCAGCTCCACCGAAGCCCCGGGGACGCTGCCCTTGGGCTCGCCCGAGCGTTCGGGATCCTTTACTTCGTGTTCTCTCTTGCCCGCAGCTCGAGTCCGCGTGCGCCCCACTCGGGAATGTGGCTGTCCTGTCGCGAAAAAGAGCTCTTGTTTCCGCTTCGTGGCAGGCTTACGCACTCGACCCAGTTTTCTCTCCCCTCTCTGCCTCCTTCCCGGGCGGATTTGGCTCCACTTGGCCTTGCATTACATTCTGCATTGCCTGTCTCTTGCAGATTGTGCAAATTAATGCGTGATTTTGAAGCTGGCTCCGGGCCTTTTTAAAAAAGAACTTTGGGAGAGGAATTCGGCCCTGGGATCCTGCGATGGCTTGTTTTACTGCTTTTAGAACACCGGGAGGAGGCTGGAATGCCTAGTGTGGAAGCCTCACCCAGCGTTATCCCGCTTTGACAGCATTGTTTACTTTGCTGGACGAGGCCCCACGGGTGAGGGGAGTCCCCAGGCCGGGAGGATAGAGTGATAAAATAAAGCTCAAGTAATAGCCAAGGGAAAGTAGGTGGGGGTGGTAGGGCCCTGGCAGCTGTCTTTCAGCGGCGACGCCTTTTAAATGGATTGAAGGACCTTTGTCAAGGACACCCCAGTTGGGTGGGGTGGTTGCTTGATGCTGTGAAAGGGGCTAGAGAGAGGCAGTCCAGAGAGAGGGTGGTTCCCTGGCATTGCTTTTCAAAGCATGACCAGGAACTGTTTACAAATAAGTAACACTGGGGTAGAGGTGAAGCTTGGTCACGGGAAGAGAGCTCAAAGGTTGTCTGTGCCCTAACTGGGCTGTCCTCCAGAGGGAGGAGCCTGGAAAGCGATTTTGAGGAGCCTTATTGAAGGGAACGGGGCCTCCTTTTTAACTTCAGAACTTTGTCTTCTTTTGGTGCTGGGTGGCCTCTTGCTAGAGGGTGGGGACTTCGCAGCTCCTGCCGTCTAGAGGATTGCTAGCCTTGTTCCTGTGGGCAGGGCTCAGGAGCCGTACTGCAACCAATCCGGTGCAGTTAGGCCTGGACCATCCTTAGATCAGTTGCACAATAGCAAGGCCTGTAGAGTAAGAGCTTCTTGCCAACACCAAGGGATAAAAATCTAGGAGAGAGCTTTACAGAGAAATTCAGCCAGGCCGCTCTAGGTGGGGGGGCTGCCTTGGAAGGCTTTTTAAATGACCCAGGCAGAAGTTCATTAATATGTATGGAGAGCTGGGTTTAAGGAAATGTTAACTTTGCAGAATAGTCGAGTTCTTAGGTGGCTTAACTCATGGAAGAAATCTCCCCCCGATATGATCAGTTCAAGACCAAGTCCTGTGTTTGAGCATGGGACAGGGTCTCGCTCTGTCGCCCAATCTGGAGTACAGTGGCAGGACCTCGGCTCACTGCGTTCTCCACTTCCTGGGCTCAAGCGATCCTCCCACCTCAGCCTCCTGAGTAGCTGGGACCACAGGCACGTGCCACCACGGCTGGCTAATTTTTTTGTATTTTTGGTAGAGCCTGGGTTTCTCCATGTTGCCCAGGCTGGTGTTGAACTCGTGGGGTCAAGTTATTCGCCCCCTCAGCCTCCTAGAGTGCTGGGATTACAGGCGTGAGCCACTGCACCCGGCCAAGATCTTGCTTTTTAATCCTGAAAAATTTTGGCAGACCAGAATCTGCTCCATATAAGAGTTGTCTTGAACTTGAACTGATTGCTTTTAAGAAATAGATACTGTTTTCTGAGGTGATGGAAAGGGATTGATAACTTCTTCCAGAATTCTTTGTGGTATTGCTCCGTAAATGCCTGCGCTTCCAGCAGTTCAGAACACTTCATAGTAACAACTGCACTCAGCTATAGTTTATTTGGGAAAGGAACTAAACTTTCAGCTATATATTAATCCCCTGAGGGAAGAGCCACCTAGATGCGTTTTTGGCTTATGTCAAATAGTCAAGCTACCGTGCTTTTAAAAATAAGGGCATAGTCTTTAAGTGTTGCTTCAAAGATAGAAGCCTGTCTCATAGCCTGGATTAATTCTTAAAGTGCTTGCAAAGATTCTGCCAGAAATACTGATTCGTTACCCCTCCTCCTAACACTCAATCACTGTTTTCTCAAATATCACTTAACTTCCCCCCAAATTGTTTCTACACACAGTTTTTTTGTTTTGGATTTAAATACTTGTCATCTTGGCTCTTCTTTAATGTTGAGCCTGTATTTATTGGGAGAGCCCATCGTAATCTTTGGATTTTTTTGTTTATTTGTTTGTTTGTTGTTTTTTGGAGATGGAGTCTCGCTCTGTCGCCCAGGCTGGAGTGCAGTGGCGTGATCTCGGCTCACTGCAAGTTCCGCCTCCCAGGTTCACATCATTCTCCTGCCTCAGCCTCCCAAGTAGTTGAGACTACAGGTGCCCACCACCACGCCCGGCTAATTTTTTATATTTTTAGTAGAGACGGAGTTTCACCGTGTTAGCCAGGATGGTCTCGATCTCCTGACCTCGTGATCCGCCCGCCTCGGCCTCCCAAAGTGCTGGGATTGCAGGCCTGAGCCACAGTGCCCAGCTGTAATCTTTGGATTTTTAACATGAGGGCTTATCTATTATCTTTATAAGGACATGGTACTGTTGCAGTTGGATTTAATCACTATTACAGCAATGAATGCTGTTTAGGTGTTCTTTACTTACTGATTTAACTTCCCCCTCTGATGGTTTGTGTATCTCTAATGCTACATTCATCTTCCTGTCACCATGTAATTTTATTTCCCTCAACCAGAGTGCAATAGTTTGTTATCTGGCCACCCCCAGACGCCTGGATTAATGTGGTTAGGTATCATTAGTAAATTTTGCGCACCCAGGGCAGTGGTTTGCACAAAAGGGGACAACAGACAAAAGTAGGAAATACAGTCCTTGGTCTGAACAGGTTTAAATTCTTGATTTGGGGGTAGGGGCAGACAGAGAAGATTTTTAGTTCTGAAAGGGTAGAGTCAAGTGCTAACATATATTTCAGACTTGAAAACATTTAGAAAAATGAGTGGTAGGTTTGTATTGGAAATCTCTGTTTAGTGGTAAGGGAGGGGATTAACATTTCCTGCCTCAAACTTCTGGAAACCTTCTGGAGGGTCACATACACGTCAGAGCATTCCAGCATAACAACAGTTGATGGATCGAATGCCCTAAATGATCAGACTAAGCAAGGACATTCACAGCCTAGCAAATTTAGAGTTTCTCCCTCCTTGAAGAGTCCTTAATTCATTGGGGATCAGAGGAGATACAGCTTACCCTTGAGGTTTCTCAAAATTGCCTTCCTGTGGTTTGGGAAATGAGAAGTGGGTGAAAACACACTTGCTGTAACCTCTTGGATTTCTCATGTTGCTAGAAGAGTACCCTTTCTCATTACAAAGGAAGAAGGGATTTTGTGTTGGGCGAATTTCAGGCCAAAAAAAAAGCTCTTGAATTTTATTTTATTTTTTTTTCTATCCGCCTGTGGGGGAATGGATGATATTTGGTTCTTCCATTGAGAAGCTACTTCTGCCCTCAAAAGAAGGTAAAGTTACTATAGTCGGCTCCGCTTTTAATAACACTAGTGACCTGGAAGAAACCTAATGCTTTCATTTTATTATTAAGAGAAACTGGGACCCAGAGAAGTTAAGTAATTTGTTAGTATTAAACAGCTAATTATTGTCCGTGGGTCCCTCAAATTTAGTATCCTGATCACTATTCCATTTTTTTCCTCCACTGTTTTGAGATGCTTATCTTACTAGGAAAGGAAGTTTGCAGACATTTTTAAAGAGACTTTTCTACCTCCAGAATGCTAGCTAATATGATTCTTTCTGCTACCTTATTTCCTTTCAAGGTGCTGAACTGCCCCCTTTTAGAAGAGTTGTTTTGCTCTGGGGAATGAGCAGAAACATAGACACGTCTTTTACCCTTTCTGTTTGCCTTTCTTTTCCAGCACAGCATTCTCATCAGCTATAGAAAAGTATGCTGTTACCATAACAGGGGCAACAGAGGGGAACTAACTGTGATGGTCTGAAATTTTATCTGGGCTGTAGCTCTTCCTTTCTGCCTCTTGGATAGTTGATGTGATTGGTTCACTGGGACAGAATTTCATAAAGGCTGTTGGATGGGTTTGGAAAAAAGGAGAAAGCAGGAAGAAGGGAAAATAATCCACTTGTTGTGAACTATCCAAAAATAAAGAGTATTGGGGGTGAAGAGAATTGCTTTTTTTTTTTTTTTTTTTTTTTTTTTCTTTCTCTGAGACAGTTTCACTCTTGTTGCCCAGGCTGGAGTGCAATGGCGCCATCTCGGCTCACCGCAGCCTCCACCTCCTGAGTTCAAGTGATTCTCCTGCCTCAGCCTCCCGAGTAGCTGGGATTACAGGCATGTGTCACCACGACCGGCTAATTTTGCATTTTTAGTAGAGACGGAATTTCTCCATGTTGGTCAGGCTAGTCTCGAACTCCCGACCTCAGGTGATTGCCCACCTCAGCCTCCCAAAGTGCTGGGATTACAGGCATGAGCCACCGTGCCTGGCGGGAGCTGCTTTTTAATCTGGTTCCTTTCTTGGGAGGAGTAAGTAGAGTTCTGGGAAGGAAAGCCAGCTTCTGACCATGTCATAAAATTTCTAACTCGGTATCCTTGGGCTGAGTTTATTCTAGGCCAGTAACTTCTGAACCCACAAATGGTGCTTATTGAACTCTCTAACTAAGTTATTAGCCAGAGGACTTCATTATTACATGTGAGAAGTGCATAAACAACATAGTTTAGGGTGTTCAAACCCTTTGCCTTGTGTTTGAGGAAGATGGCATTTACTTGTATCAGAGTAACACAACGTATGTTGTCATTTTGTGGGAGATTCAACTTTAATCTCATATTCATCAGCTGCCAATATATATGTAGAAGAGAGTATACCTCAGT